CTCCGAGAAAATCGCTGGATAATAATAATTTAAAAAAAAAAAATCACTGTATACATTGTGTATAACAATAGAAGTCACGTCCGAGAGAGTTTTACCGGCACAATAGCTCATGCGAATATACACAATGCTCACACACAATAATAATATCATAACGGTGTCAACAGTTTGTCAAAACTCCGACGCCATTTCCGTTGTCGTTATAATTATTATTATACGTACGGTCGTTTCATATTTTTATTCTCTTTTTTTCCCGTAAACGACTGGCCCGTTTCGCTCACAGACTATTATTGTAATTATTTTTCACGCCGTACAGGTGTCCGCCGGGAATAATATGATAACGAAAATGTGCTACGCTAAATAAATTATAACGTTTCATTAAAATTCAATTAAAACTTCGACAAAAAAAATAACCGAAAAAAATATCCTCTAAGTACCTCTAATTAGATAATACACAACGTTAATTTCCCGTAATTTCCCATTTAACTCCCCCCTCTTTTTTTTTAACCGATACGTTCAAAACTTCATTCTCGAGTCATGCGCATCTGAATTCTCCGCTCAATATGTTACAATGTATAATACTATTAATATTTTCGTTATAAAATAACTACTCTTTATAGCTTCTTCTGTATTCCTGAATCCCAGCAACATCAAATCTTAAGTTACTTTGGTGTTTAAACTCCGTATCTGTCCAATATTAGTCCTGGTTTTTTAATTCATTATTTCTTCTTAGTTCTTATTTAATATTTTCTATCGTTATTTCTTGTTGGCCCGAACATTATCCTCAACATGTTTCTTTCAAATACTTCTAACTATACCGAGTGATTCATTTAAGTGGGTACACTAATTACCTCGAAAAGTATTAACTTTTTCCGGAATACATTTTCTAGAACATTTAAGAAATATGCAGCTCTACAATTTTATATTTATGTTACTTTTTCTCACCCTTATTTTTGGGGACAAAACAACTTCCTATTTTTGATTTTCAAAAGGCAACCTATATTAAAATATCCATAAATAGATGAAATATTAGTTAAAATAAATTCAAGTGTTGAAATTTTTGATTTCCGTCAATCTGTGGAGTATCATTTGTGTGGCGGTACGGCATGCGACGTGTTACTAATGCGCCACTACTCTCCTCCAACCTAAACTTGCTGTTTAAAGTGGTTTTGGCCCCAAAAATAAAGTTGACAAAAAGTAACATAAATATAAAATTACAGAGCTGCTTGTTTCCTAAATGTTCCAGAAAACAAATTCCGGAAAAAGTTAATACTTTCCGAGATGATGAGTGTACCCACTTAAATGAATCACCTGGTACACCTATAGTACGGTATACTTTTCATACTATCGTTCATCCGATCTAGTTTAGTGAAGACAACATACGCATAAGAAGCAACTGGTCTGATTAGGATATGATATCAAGTTATTTAAAAATTCAAATACATATTAATATCTTAACCGTTACGTCTCATTGTTCATCAGACGTTATTGAATAAGTTAGGCAAGTCTTACATTTAATATACATGGGTAATTTTAGGACATCAATATTTTGATTAATTGAAGTTATGTATATGGTAATTGCTAAAACGTGGCAGCTGAGAAAATTCAAACAATTTTGATTGCCTAGAGGTTTTCGAGAAAAAAAGTTCTCAACAAATGGTCCAATTTCTTATTATATGAACCAAATAATTAAAGAAGATTACGTCATAATTATAAATCTCAAATTCAATTTCAAAGACCCAATATAGATAATTAGAGAATAGATCGCTTAAAAATAAAACTGATTACGTCAGGCCATGGATGTCTAAAAAAACGGATTTAATAAGCAGTTATGTTTAAGGAAGAATCAATGAGGAAAAAACCTTTTAGGACACCAAGGCTTAAATGCTAGAACATTATTTTAAGAAGAACGAATTAAGGTGGCAATGGAGCCGGGAACTTAATGGAGAAAAGCAGGGAAAACACAGAACATGGATAGGTGAGATATTTAGTATTTAGCGGTGTGTTCTTAAAAACCGAAGTAAATCAAAAGAAGTATAAGGACATTTTATACATTATATATCTCGGTTTTTGGTGAAGTACTAATAATATGTGATCAATAGATGATACTATTTACTATATAGAACGTAATATTATTATGATGCTCGTCTTGTAGTTTCGTCATCTTTGGGAATTTACAGACATCCCTCCGTAAATCAATCAATCATTCGTTCTGTATACGATAATAATGTTAATGTTATCGTTTACACCGATACACACTGTATAATTTCAAATCAAGGCGCATAGTCAAAACGTCAAATAATTGTAAAACGGATATTATTATAATCCACCAGGGAAGGCTAAAATAGGTATGCAATTCGAATCACGTAACCCAGTGCCGTATAATACGCGAGGGTTGTACAATTTAAATAATATTATTATTATGTTACTCTACTATATAATATTAATGAATAATTTTGTTCAGCCTTCATTTACATGATTATTGTGCATAAGCGTATTACAAGCAAAAACTGCAATAATTGGGTCCAGAAGCATAACGAGCTGACTGGAGGAGACCGTTTGATTTTTTCCCAGTCGTTTTTATTCGCGAATTGAACTATTTTACTTACGTGATTTAGATTTTAAGCGAGAGCAGGTATGTATTACTTTTATATTACAATATGTATTTTAATTAAATTTACATGTATACACAATTTTGACCAGAAATCTTGCTCCGAACGTTAAGTTCAAGACTGGTTTCTGAGAACACATTTCATCAAATTGATGTATTGAGTTGGTTATTTTTTAAAAAATTTTTGTACTTTTCTCGTTAATGTAGGAAAACCAAAAAAAAAACCTGTCAATTTAATTTTAAATTTAAATTTATCAAAATTATTTAATTAAACTTCGCTTAGAATCGTTTATCTTATACTTATATGAACTAATTATCCTATTTGTAATCTTATTTTTCCAAATCTCCTTACAGATAATATTAATCGTATTGAACATTTTACTATACCTATTTATTGCAGAGTAACCATATTATTCAGTGCACGAATTGTGGAAAAGGGCATAGGGAAACAGAATTGTTTTACTATTTTTTTTTTTTTTTTAACGCCCTTTGATAATTTGTTTTATATTGAGACCGAGAGACAGTATGTTTCTTTCCGTAAATCATGAAAAAAAAAAAAAACGTAGATTATCAATTCAGATATATTTAATATTATAAATCGTAGTTTTAACGTTTAACATAATAATATAACTTATGATAATATACATCATACTTACGAAAAATAAATATGCTAATGAAAGCGTATTCGGTAAAAGTATAATTGGTTGTGAATTTTTTTTTTTTCGTTTTTTCGTATTTTAAGTTGAACTCAATAATTGTAATTTATTTTATTTTTATAAAATCCCTCTTCTTTCATGTTTCCAATTCAGAATATTGTTAACTCACATAGAATTTAAATAAATATCTCTTACTTGTAACCATGAATTTTGAACAATAATAATAAAAATAATACATATATTTCGAATACCATGTAATAAATATGTCTGGACAAATTTAAAATATTTTAGCATTATATGGGTTGTAACACACGTCTTGTAACACCAAAAAGTCAATAACTCGCAAACGTTTCGAATCGGTACCTATCTAAAAGCTAAGGGAATTGCATAGTTTCAGCGAACGACAAAATAGCCGAAATCGATATTTTGGTTTTTTTCTTATTTTCTAACCCGTTGTGTTTTAAAACCTTTCGTTGTTTAACAGTTTTTAACTTTTATTTAGAGAAAAACGATCGGTATTTATCGTACCTAATCCCGACGTATTTACAGTAAAACATTAAAGATATCATTTAAAATTGAATTTAATTTGAACGCTTTTTTGTTGTAAACAAATAATGGATACAAACATGAGAACACTACATTTACAACGTATTTCTAAACCTATCGAACTTTTATCGAGTTTTCTTTTGTTGCATAATAAATCTATACAAAATTATAGTTTACAATAGTCTTTTGGAAAAATTGAACATACTTATTTAGATAATATATAGCTACTTCTAGCGCTTGAATCGGAAAACTATTAAAAGGGGAGCAAAAATGTAAACAAAAATTATTGCGTACCTGATGATTTTTGTACTTCCATAAATTGTCTGTTTTAACGTTTGTTATATGAAATACTATAGAAATGATACGATAAAAAAAATTATTATTATTTTTTTTTTTTAATAGAAATATTTCTTCTTCCCTCCCAATTCAAATATTTCTAATTAACCATTAATCATAGAATAAAAACTATATCGAATTAAATGCACGGTAAATAAATTGGTTAAAATTAAGTTTCAGTGAATTTCACTCGCAGCTACACCGACAAACACTATCAACGCGTGCATACGATCTGTTACATATTACATTACTGCAATTTAAACCGTTTATTCAAATGATAATAGTACAATAAACATCTTTTACAGCTTAACGGTCTACTGCAGTGTTGTTTAGGACCTGTGTCATCGCCAAATCTCTTTTTCACTACCTACTTTTAGCACGCATTAACCCTCAAGATACCGGTGATATTCCTAAATATAAATTGTCCCCTTTAAATCCTTAACAATTTCCAAAAAGGAAACAGTCCAATGGAAAGTCGCACTCTTGAGACAGAAGCGAGGATTACGTGTTTTTGTAAGGAATATTTCTCTAGACATCGAATTTCGCGATTCTTTTTAAAAATAACCTCTGGAACATTATAATCACCTAAGGACATCCGTGAAGAGACTGATTTCACTGAATTTGAAAATTAAACCGTGATATATATATATATATATAAAACAGTATATCGGGAATAAAGATAATAATAAAAAATACTGACTATATAAACTTTTAACAGAGAAAATGAACCGAGAACAAAGCCTATATCCCAGTAAGTCGTCACTAAATTAAATATGCTCGTTTTTTTTTTTTGTTTTTTTTTTTAATAATTCTCTCTATATAGTGAGAGATAAAACAGGACAGCCGAATAAAATATGGTGGGCGCCAAACAGCCGCCTAAGGGCAAGCTATACAATGAGTTGAAAGGAGGCGAAAAGCATAAAAGTGGAGTAAATTACGTCCGGTTATAAGCGTACGATAAGAAATTATATTCGAGATCCAAGGATATTAACAAGCCGATAAACCGCGAGACTTATATTAGGTTAACATCGTATTATTATAGTCGAACGTCGAACGATCGAGATTCGATGCTTTCCGTTTTAGATTTTCCGGAGCGTGAAAAATATTACTGTTTCGCTAATGAGCGGAAAACTGTTTTTACCACGGAAAACGTACAAAGAAAACCTGGGATTTTTTATTATTATTGTTATTTTTTTTTTTTTTTTTTTTTTTGNCAAGTAATAATAAATCCAATTTTAATATAATATTATACAAATTCCTTCTTTCGATGTTACATAGGTAGTTAAATAAAAAGGTGTTTGTCACAGATTAACTAGGGTGAAATGTTAAACATTATTTTACAAAGCCATGTAAATAAAAAAAACTTATACTCCAGCGTTTTTAGTAATCGAAACAGGTATAATTTTTCAAAGCAAAAATATACCGACACGCAAACCCAACAAAATCAACTAAAATCCTTAGGGAACGAACTTGAATTAAGAGACTTGATATTTCATATATGTTAATTATTACAATTTTTATAATTTGTAAATTTTATAGAACATGGAAGACATGGGGAAAACCTTACAAAAAATTAAAAGTAGCTATGGTGAACAGGGAAGAGTGGAAATCTATAGAAGCCATTGAACCAAAGTTTGAAAAGAAAAATAAATGTTATGTTAACAAGTTTCATAGTATACAATATGTTTATGGGTGAAAAAAGTCTACTGGGAAATGAATAAATTACTGATCATATGTTTTTTTTTCTTATCAGTCTTATATATATATATGGACAAACCATACATGGATCCATCATGTATGAACCAATAGTTCGATAGTTTCCATTCAGTCGTGCCCATCACTAAATCAATACTAAAAGCAATCCAAAGGTCTCATTTTGGACCCTTCCAGCTTCCACCCATGAATATGATTAATATCATTTTTCAATTTAATAAGCTCTAGGTCATAATAACTTACAAACACAATTTTCGTTTGTGTGATTTCCATTGATAGAAGCAAGCTTGCAGGATGAACGTGGATGGGTCCAGATATTTGTTGAAAGTCAATAGTTTAAACGGAAAACACGCTATTTTTATTGGGAAATACTGCAAAGGGCTGAGGAATACTGAGCGAATATATAGCCATAAGAGCTGGTCGTAAAGCGATAAAAACAAATTGGACGAGAAAAAAATAGTCTTACGTCGCTGTAAGTATAGAAAGTCGTGAGACGCGAATTACGTCCGAATGTATAACCATTGTCCCGCACATAGGAATAGGTAGGCAAAATCTATTTGTCTGCTTGTATAATATACAGGTTGATTCTTTTATTACAAACCGCCGATCATTAATAAATATTTTATAACATTATAAACAAATGATTTTCATAATAATTGGGAAAACCGGAAAAAGACGAGGTATGAAGAATAATAAATTTACGGCATTATGATTCCTTTATTTTAAATTTTTACGGACGATGTTTTCTACCAGAAATATTGCTCCAGTAAAAAAACAACAGGAAACTTTTTTTCGACATGGTATAATTTTTAAAACATTTAAGCCATTTTTGAGCTATAGAATTCTTGATTCTGCTAATATTTTGTTTACATACAAATATAAAATCAAAATAAATATTTTGAGTTTATGTTACGAAAATCATGAGGGTAAAAAAATAACATATTACTTACAATATTAATTTATTAACGTATTAACATATATATTAAAGCACTTTAATGTATGATAGTAATATTGCACGATGGAAAAAGATAAGTAAACCTACTATTATCTAATAACCTCTTAAATTAGCGAGAAATGTATTATATTTGTAAATCAGTCTAATTAAATAGTAAAATAACACACTTCAAACACCATTTATAGATAAGTAATCGTAATATGTATAACATAGAGTAAACTAATAATAACTATTAACAATATTTGAAACTCGCACAGCGTTGACCTCGCGACGATTGAAAAGAAAAAGTGTTTTATGATAAAATCATCAAAAAACACCGTCGTCGTTTTGAAAATAGTTCTCTGACGACGACTGCGTGTTGTAAAGATCACACGCCAAATCGTAAACGTCATCATTTCATTAACCCTGTGAACAAGCAACTGCACGGGGAGTCTTGCGGCAAGACCGAGACCGGGGTCCGGGGTTGAAAGCAAGACCAAGGTTAACACGGGCACGGCCAAGGCCATTATCCTGGTTTTGGTCTTGATTGGACAATCACTGGCGACGACGTTTCGGGCTGTAGCCACCGACATGCAACCCGGATCGCGTGCACAAGGCAGTCCACAACTTTGTATTATTTACGTTCCCTGTACAGTTTTTAGACGGCTTATTTCGACGACTATTGTAATAATATTATTATTATAACGGGCGGGGGAAATAGAGGCGACGCGAAGCGTTTTTACGCGTTTTAAACGATTTCCAGCGTTCCCGGTGCGGGGAGGTGAGGTAATCGCGGCGTGCTGCACGCGAACGGGCGGAGTCGCGGGACACGGAACACAATCCCGCGGGCGGCCCCGAGTGTCGGTGGTGGAGATTCTCGTCGGGTATTGTACGCGCGTGTAACCGCCGCGCCGTCGGAATCCGGGAACGGGACGGGACGTGGGACGTTTATCATGCCGTCCGTACGGGACTCGCGTATATATGTGCATATAATAATAATAATAATAGTGATAGTAATACGTCTTAATTCGCGACGCCGCCGCCGCCGCCCCGTCGACTAGACCGGGGGGGGCGGTGGGGTGGGGGAGGGGAAACCGTTTGTCGCCGTCCCCTCGGCGGCGCGCGCGGAATCGTTTAATTCCGATAAATATCGTCGGTACGCGCGCTGCCGTAAATCTTCGACGGGAACCCGGTGGGCGGGTCCGGGCCGCCGGACCGTTAAATGTATAATATATAAATTTAATAACATACGAGACCGTAATAATATTGAATATACGCGGGCGGCGGCGAAGCGGTTGTAAAAACGTCGAACGCGCGCGCTTCTTCCGAGGGTCGGCGGCGGTTCGTTTTAAATTTTTCGTCGTCGTTCGCGTTTTTGGAAAACAAAAAAAAAATAAATAAATAAATAAATAAAAACCCGTACGACGACGACAACGACGACGACGACGACGACGACGACGACGTATTTATTGCTCCGACGACGACGTCTGTGGCGATACGATTTCGCGCACCGCCTCCGCCCGTCCCGGATCTCTCCGCGGCCGTCACGTAGTACTCGTATAATATAATTCTCGTACAAAATAATAATATATTATCGCGTATATTCTCCGGTGTCGTATAATATATATATATATATATATTGTGTTATATTGTACGGGGCGAAACGAACGGTCGGACGAATGAATGATGAAAAAAAAATACAAATACGAAAATTCGGATACAGAAGTCTCTTTAACGCGCCGGCTTTTTTTTTTTTTTTTTTTTTTTTTTTGGTTTTTTTTTTTCCCCCAAACGCTATTCGACTAATGAAATCTTCCGTGTTGAGCCGCGTAAATTAATGTCGATTCACTTGTCGCGAAAAGCCGGGGACAACCGTGTATATATATATATATATATACCTATCTACGTACATATACGTTATAATATGTACACGGTTAATATAATATATCAATATAAAAGCAGACAAGTATAAAGGGTGTTCTATAGTGTTTTTCGAGGTGCTGATGTCCCTATTTATTTTGGAATTTTTTGTAATTTCAACAGGATTTCACGCGAGAGCGTGAAAATTTAGATTTGTATTTTCATCCCATAATCACTGGAAAGAAATAACTTTTTATCTTTTCACTTTTCTAACTAGCCAATTTATTATAGATATTATTATAAAAATTGTAACTCGTATATACGTAAATCTTCGTACGTCGTCTATCAGTCTCTGTAACAAAGTGACTATTTTTCTTCTAATGATTAACTGATAAAATAAAATCAAATATATGTCCTTTCCAACGAAATCATATTCAAAATTTAAAAAAAAAAACAATTTTATCATTGGGAAAATGAAGTGGGACACCCTGTATATGCTGTTGAGCCCCTCGCGATGAATTCCACGCCGAATTCCCGCCAGCCCAAACGTATTAATCCACCGCGAAAACGTTATAAATTTAATCGTATAAAGCGAACGGAATGCCAGAAAAAAAATCCCATTCACGGAGACACCATAATAATTATATAACGATAGCTGCAAATTTCAAACAATCGATAGACTATACATTATCGTTTATACGAGTGATTTAATTTTTTTTTTCTTTTAATACTGCGTTGCACGGAACTTAACAAAACCAATAACTGATTATCGAATCTGCGGCTTTGTAATATTATACAATAGCATTCTACTTAGTTTCCATATTATATCACGTCTTTTAAAGATTTAATCATTACTAAATTTAATTTTTTCTACACGGAGTTATAACGAAGTGTTTTTGATGTAATTATTAAATACATTTTTTTATTTGTATTTAAATATTATATTAAAGATATACATCTTTGTGACATACCAAATTTATTTATTTTTTTACCTTTATCAATTTTAGTGCTCTTTCAATATTAATAACTGGCAAATCTATAAATTTTGCTTATCCCATATTTATCTCTAGTCAATTCTTTATATGGCGCAAAGATGAAAAAGACGTTTTGCAAGTAGCCGAGCTTATAGGGGGATAGTTAATTCTATAGCTAATCATTTATACCGTCGCTTAAGTGCAACAGTGCATAATATCTCAGTTTTTGTAGTTTTTCAGGAGAGGCATTTCAATGTTATGTTGGTACATAAGAATGACACAATTAATAGTATTAGAATTTTTGTTAATAACAGTATAACCGCTATTATATGGCCCAAAAGTTGATAAGCTTTCTATCGAAAGTTAAAAATTGGGGGTGCTATGCATCCCCAAATTGCGCCAAAAGGCCTGTTTAACCAAACAAATATTCTGTATCTAATAATCGTCTTACCATTTAAATATAATTTTTTAACCAGATGAAAACGTGATTTAATTTTTTTGTTACTGAAGAGATATAATATGTATTATATAAAATTTCAGTTTTATCATCTTATCTTGTCTTCGTAAGATGAGTCTGGTGATTTTTCAAATGTTGATTGATTCAACAAGACGGTTTATAGTTAAGTTAAATCCTCTTCAGGACTAACGGTGGTTTGAATTTTAAAATTTAAAACAAACTTTATTAATCTTTATTGCTTTTACCTTATTAATTTATTCCAACTTCAGACGCAATTAATGACTTGGAATTTAATTTTAATTTTTTTATTAGTTACAACAAAATATTAAATTATTATGTAATTTAACCTGTTCAATAACGGTAATTTTACAGAACCTAAGGGTATATTAACCAACTAACAGTTTACGGAACTGTTTACACGCAGCCCAACATTAGTGTAAGCAATAAGCTATTCGGCTCTTCAGGAAACAGTTTTCGGTTGGTAAAATTATTCTAAATAATTTAAATTTTATAATTTGTAAATAAACTATAATTATTTCAACCTAAATGACGCGATTTACCTTCTAAGTAACGTAATTTTGGTATGTTGCTATACGGCCGTCAGTTCGACTCGAAACCGTACACGCGGGTAGGTAAGGCACCGTAACGTCCTCTTATATTTTCAGGACACGATCGAAAACCCAACAGATATTATTCAGTCACTTTCTCAAATCGCACCTTTATAATAAAAGCCTTCGCAAAAGTAATACGACTCGCTG